TTGGGAATAAATTGTCGCCAGATATATCTGTTACTGCTATTGATATTCATCGTGACGGATACGTCGTCGCCAATTATGCGACGATATTCGCATTAATGCTTAACTCGACTCCGAATTACGAACGCAATCGATGTCACTAATCGTCCATGAAAATACCGGTGCTTACTGGTCTCTCGTATTTCATCAATCTTGACAGTTTATTGGATATGTCAGTGAACTCTAATAATTAGTCTCTGAAGAGATTTGATTGAAACCTGTAGGAGAAAAGAAAAACAGGTAGACAAATGATTGAAAGCAAACGATTGAAAAATGATTGAAGCAAAAATTGAAAACATCGAACATAAAATAAAATATATATAAGGAAACCAAGACATTTACACAGAACAAAATACAAAAATATTTACAGGAGAAAGGTAAAACAAAAAAATAACAATGAATGTTTTTGCTACATGTTATTTGTATGATTATACACATCTTTATTATAATTTTGATGTAATATGAAATTTTAAAAAATTTTGAAAAGAAAATGATTATTAATGAGACTTATTATTTTAATAACTATTTTTTAATGAGATCTCATGTTTCTTATTCATCAATTGCATATTTGTAAAATAATAAATATCTTTAGAAATATTAAATTATCAAAATGAAAATGACTTTTTACTATAATAAAATCGACTATTTTTTATAAATCAAAATAAATAATATATAAAAATATTAAAAATTTTTAAATATTAATTTAATTCGATAATTTTCTGGAATGTTCGCAATAAAATACAAATTGCAATTGTTTAAGTAAAAATTAATCAGCGAATTTTTACTTGAATCATTTTCGAGGTACTTTTAATTTTCCTTTTAATTTCAATTTTTAATTTAAAAGGAAAAATGGATTTTACATCGTTCGTCAATAATATCACCAAATAGACACTTGATTAGACTCACAGGAGAAAAGAAGCAGAGACAGACAAAGATAATCTGATGATGAATCATTGAAGCAGCAATTTAAAAAAATAAAACATGGAAGAAAATCAAAGCACTTGCATCCAGGTACGAATTTTTCTTTCAATTTTATCTGCGGATACATGCCAACGGATATTTTCAGCAAACACCATGTAACAGTTATATAAGTGTTACTTGGTGTTTGCTGAACTAATGTTAATACTAATTTGAAGATGAGAGAAGAGAAAAATAAAATAAAATAGATGTGCAAAAGAATACAATAAATGGATGCAGGAAAAATGCAGAAGTATTTGCAAGATAAAAAACAAAAAAAATCAAAGATAGTCCTATCGAAAAAATGAAAGAGACCTTTTTTGTGTAGAATTTTAAGGCAAACATCTTTTATTTAAAACATTTTTTCGTATCTGCATTCGTTTTCGAGAAATTCAGTAAAAACTGTTTTGAGGATAGTTTTAAATATTAAGCAACCCTTAAAATATTAAGCAACAGGGATGGAGGAGAAAACTATTTTGACTAATTCTAATCAAATCCCCACTGTTATCAAAAAAGTATTGACTTTCTTTTTGTGTCTACAGCGCTTGGACAATATTGGAAATATTGAGAATTTGGGCACTTTGACTCCCCCATATCTCCAAAACTACCCCTATGCTCAACTTAAATTTTTTCTGAGATTAATGTCCCATTATATAGAACTGTTTGGCATATAGTTTGATTTGAAATTCGAGGGCTAAAAATGGGCGAAATTTGGGGTTACTGTTTATAGGATTTTTTTTCTCGAAAGTAAAGCCTGTTCGAATAAAGTATAATGAAAGTACAAAGTATTAATATATTCTCTGATTTTTCTTTAATATTTTAATTCATAAATTCTTATACATTTCCTTTTCCGATTTCGCGTCTTCTTCCACAAAAGATCGGGTCGTCGGGATCGTCCGAAGGAAGTGTCTTTTTTTATTTACATTCATGTATATAAATAATATCAGTGATTAATTAATTCAGGATCGTTGATGAAGCAATGAAAAAGATATATATATATATATATATATATATATATATATATATATATAATATCGATCGTAGAATCAGAAAATTTTTATTCATCATTTTTTCGAGACTAATCATTCGTTTATATAAACATAATTATCCATATATAACAAAATAAAATTTTGCCGTTCGAAATCTGTTATTTTTTTCTTTATTTAAAATCTTTAATTCAAATTTTCAGTAATACTTTTGTTTATTTCGACATACATTAATATTCTTGGCCGACAAGATGAATGATCGGATTTATCGGCCGTGCAGAAGTTGGCCGGAAAATGTGAGAGTGAATTGAGATTGGGGTTAGATTTTGTACGCAAAAGGGTGCCGGAAAGCTCTCATGATATTTTCAAGGTATGGCATTTGCGACGCGAAGTCTGCGAATTTTGTGTAAAATATACAATGCAAATGCGGGAACAACGCATTGTATCTTACGACGACCACTTAATCGAATATCGCTTGTTCAAGTGGCACAAAAATATCGTTACAGTACCGAAAGTAAGTACCAACATAACCTCTATGCATTATAGAAAGCATGGTAATCTAAACTGATTGAAGGCACATTAAATATACTTAAAAAAAATGGGAAGCATGGTAATCTTATTGTTAAAATAATTTCAGTCATAAATTACAAATAATATCGTTTAATTATATCGAAATGGTATCGATTAATGATATCGAAATAAAAAATAAAAAACGACAAATACGAAAGAAATAAATACTTTTTACATTTTAACATTTGATAAAGATATATATTAATTAAAGGAGATTGTTTATTTTACTACATAATAATGCGCGAAAATACTTTAACTATAATTTGTAAATGACTTAAGCTAATCACATGTAATCAAAAGATATTAAATCATTATTTGTATAAGTATACATATATAAAAATATTGCATGTTTATATTTCATATATAATTTGTGATTTTTATCTACAGCAACAGATCGTCCAAAAATTACTAGTAATCTAACAAATATACAATCGTCAATAAATGAAGCTGAGCGTGGACAAGAAGCAACGACTCAAAAAAAACAGAAAGAATCACAAACAGAAGATGAAGAAGAGAAAGCAAATCGTGAGCGATCGAAGAAAATGATGAATTATGGATTTGCAGCTTTTGGTGCAGTCATGAGTATTGGCTTCACTTATTTAATATATGAATTAGGAAGACCTAACTATGATGAACATGGGAATGTCATTGAGGACGAATTTTCCAATTTACCATTCTTTGAACAAATTTACAAGAGGGTTAAGAGAGAGCTCAATTATTATACAAGAGTATGATAACTTTTCTAATTTATTGTGCTCATACTTGCAAAAGAAAAAATATATACATATATACTTTGCTTTGTATTATAATAAAAAATATTTTTATAATTATTTTAATATTAAAGTTTTTATACAACATATATATTTCCTAATTTTAAAAACATAATTATATGAAATTATTCATATATATGGAAAGTATTTTGTTATAATGTTTATATTGATGTTTACAGCTGGTACAGGAACCTAGTAGAGAAAAATTATTACCCGATCCATTAAAGTATCCATATATTCAGCCACCATACACTCTAGTTTTGGAATTGACAGATCTTCTTGTGCATCCAGATTGGACAGTAGGTTTTTAATCTAATTAAAGAGATAGAATATATAATTTAATTTGATACTTGGATATTATGGATGTATCTTATTTATAGTATCAAACTGGATGGAGATTTAAAAAACGGCCTGGAGTGGATCAGTTTTTAGAAGCAGTAGCACCCCCACAATTTGAAATTGTGATTTATACAGCTGAGCAAGGAATGGTAATTGTAATCTTTGCTTCTTTTAAAAATAGGACATTATTTTTAATATTGATAAAAAAATTATTTAAATTTGTATAAATAATATCTATAATAAATGTTTGTTTGATTTTTGCAGACGGTATTCCCCATTTTGGATGCATTAGATCCAAATGGGTACATAATGTTCAGATTAGTTAGAGATGCGACACGTTTTGTGGATGGACATCATGTTAAAGATCTGGGAGCTCTTAATCGCGATCTTAGTAAAGTAATTATTTTCTCATTATAAAAAAGTATCTTCTTAGTTAGTTTTGTGGTGCTTTTTATATTAAAATTATTAAATACATAGGTCATTGTTGTTGATTGGAATGACAGAAGTGTAAAGTTACATCCAGAAAATGCATTTAAACTTCCTCGATGGACAGGCAATGATGATGATACTACACTGTATGACTTAGCGGCATTCCTAAAAAGTAAATATATTTTATAATTATTTGCCTTAATAATTTCATATTAACATCATTCCTGCAAATTTATTTATTAACATTTTAAGTATCAACACATTGTTATGTATAATTTTTCTTAATAAGTATTAATGTTTTTTTTTTCTTTAGCAATATTAACATCAAATGTGCAAGATGTCCGAGATGTTTTGAATTATTATAGACAGTTTGATAATCCATTGGAAATGTTTAAAGAAAATCGTCGAAAATTATTGGTAAGTTACTGTAAAATAAGCAGCATATAATCAGAATACTCAAGTATAATGATAATTAATAGATGCAAATGGAAGAAGAGCAGAATAAGGCACAACAAGATAGTAGCAAAGTACTTACTTCGAGATGGAAACCATCTTTCCTACGGAACCGCTAGTCAACTAATGACATTACAAATTGAGAAATGTACATCTTTTGAATATGCAATACATTCAATCATTTCATTGCAAAAGGAATATGTATATTGTGATTACTGTATAATTTTTATTGTAATAAAAAACAACGTTCCAAAATTTGTTCTATTTATTTACATATTTATACAGTTCATTATCACAATTACATATAAATACAATAAAGTATTTTTGTATCTATATAATTTATTTTAATTACATCTCTCTCTCTCCCTCTCTCATAGATATATAAAATATAAATTTTAAATAATCAACACTTTGTACTTGTATGTGGCATTTTCTTTTTTTTAATTCTCAATTAGATAAATTACTTAAATGTGTCTTTATTGAACTTCTAAATTTTAGTTTCAGTAATAGTTTTTATTGTAATACATTGTCATCTTCAATATATATGAGATCTTGTTCTTGAGAAATGTGAGAGAATTCTTGAGTGTTGATGAATGTAGATATACATCCAGAATCATCTTCTGATTGCATCATCGGATAATTCGAAGTTGACGATTCCAACCAATTCCAAACTTTATGATGGGATTCTGCAGTTTCAGGTACTGGTACCTCTTCACGTATTTCCCAAGCTGTAAGAAGTTCTGGTGCTAATAAATCTATGTATGATCCTAATGTAGCCAACGATTGTTTCCAACTTGGTTCAAAATCGTCTGCATCATCTTTATTGGATTTTAAACAGAGCTTTTTATTTGTAAAATCTGTAAAATTATTTTCATAATTTATATTATATCGATTGTGAGAAAATATATTTAAATATAAAAATATATTCTCTTACTTTCATATATATGTCTCATATTACATTTGTTGGATAACGTTAGAGGTACTAAGGGTTCGGCTTGAGCTGATAAAGCTTTTTCCCACATATTTAATGCGTAACAAGCTTTACCATTTACAGGAGAATATTTGTCCAATATATTTTCATGTGTTATACACTGATAAAATATGTCACCTAATAATAATAGAAAAATATATTCATATTCAAACATCAGCATAATGTTATCTAGAAAATATTACATATAAAAAAATATTAATTGTACCAATTGAATTTTGAACAAAGTAAGACACTTCTCCTTTTTGTGTATTTGTGACTAATGTGCTACCAGTATTAGACAATTCAAATCTACTTCGTAAATATGGATTCAAGCACATTCCTTGAATTTGAGATTCATTTAATGTTTCTACAATACATGGAGGTATAAAAGGCAAATTAAAGGAATGAGATTCCTCCTCGCCCATCCAAGTATTCAAAATTATAGCGTTTTCGCCGATTTTCTGAGATGACAAAACAATAATTTCCTTATCATTGCTGCAATTAATGAACAATATGATTAATATTATGTAATAGAGCGATTATTTTAAGAAATTCTTATTTAAAATATTATTTACTTGTTAGTTACAGTTGCCAATAGTGGAGTATCTTTGAATTGATGCGTCCATTTTTGTCGTATGCAGTGCTTTGGAGAACGATTATCACATAATAAAAGAGAATGATAAGTTCCCACATATCGACAACAATTGTGTTTACTCGGTGCTTCGACAGAGAGATTCTCGCAATTTTCTAAGTTAAATTTTGGACACAATGTAAGACATGGTTGGTCAAAAGCAGTCTGAGAACAGTAAAATTGTAATTACCATTAATGTATAAAAATTAAGAAACAAATACGTTTTTATTATTAATAAATAATGCTAATAAATAATAACTTCTAATTTGTGTATCTGTATTGTTGTATAAATGATAAGTATCTTAAAATTTTTCTATTTCTTACTCTTATATCAACATAATGTAAACAACATCTATCCATATAAATCAAGACATTTGGATCCATTTGTTGAAATCTTATACATCCCCAAGCATCATAAGTTTTAGCATTATTTAACAGAGAACCACTATTAATAGAATGCCTACAAAAGACAAAACATCAATTTTGTGAACACACAATAGATATTTGAAGATGAAAAGATATTCACATATTATTTATATCCCATAAACATATTTTTCTTTCTGCACTTAATGTACAATGATAATTGACATTAGTTAAACTCAAATCAGCACTGACATATGGTACTTTTGATGCTTGCCTATGAATTTCATTAAGCACCATATGATTCTCTGAATTTGTAAGCATATAAATAGTACATTGATTTCTATGCCTTCCTAGAATTCTACCTAAAATATGAATTGTTATATCAATGTATAATAATAAACATTTATATATGTAATTATTTTACATTGTTTAACTACATAATTATCATACATACATGTATTATTATTTTCACTTTGTCTAATTTCATATAATAATCTATGTAATTTACATTTAGCTGAATTTTGCAGTAATGGCTTCCATATGGAATCTTTCATGGGTGTAATATTTGCAGCAACTGAAAATATTTCAAGAAATTAAAACATATTTAATCATACACAGAATATTATATATAATTATATAAATACACATGTTTTATATACAAAATAGTACCTAAATCTCCCATGAATGGAAATAGCAGAACATCCAAGCCATTTAACTGAATATTATTTAATGATCCACCAGTATAATACCAGTTATAAGTCTAAAATGATATTTTATTAGTAATAAAGTCAATAAATTTAATTTTTATCAAATATATTATTTCAAGTTATTCTTACTTAATAATAATTCAATTATTATTTATAAATTTATTATTATTTATTCAATTATTATTAATAACTAATTATTTTTCTAGGTATTTCACTCATTTTATTTAATAAAAATTTCTAAAAGATATATGTTAAATATACCCCTTCAAAATAAGGATCAGGATCCATGTCAAGTAATTCTGCTATATCTGCAACATATCTGGGAATCTGTGCATTATATCCGTTACTTCCTCTGTCCCATTTTATTTTCTTTTTATGTACTTCATTAAACTCTATTAAAAATAAATTTTATTTATTTTAAATTAATATAAAAAATTATTACTATTATTAACATTACAAATTATTTATTTTTTTTTTTGTATAAACCTGTTTTATGTCTTTCATAATAACCCATTATTCTGTCAATATCATCTTTTAAGTGTTGTTTTAGAGTAAGAAGCTGTAAAGCTGGATCTTCTTCAATAAGCACTGCAAAATTTAAAAAGGAGATGTTTATATTTTTATAAAATATACTTAATAAAATTAGAAAAAAAGAAAATATTACAAAGGAAAGAGAGAAAATTATAACGACAATAATTAAGATATTTTTAAAATATCTCTCTGGAGAGAATGGAATAAAATTATATAAAAATTATATTTCAAAAATATCTCACAAATTAAAAATTCACACATATCGGTATTATTATTACCTGTTCTTGATAATCTTGCTGGTGGTAATAATGGTTTTGGTAAATTACAATTATATGGAAAATCTTGATAGAGACCCATTGCACTTTCCTCATCCCATTCTTCAATACACGGTGACTTATTTAAATTATAACCAGGCATTACATGATGTGGATAATTCTTCAAAAATGTAGTATTGAATTTATTAAGTAAATTGTTTTCAGCACGCTTCAATCCTTTTGATTTTAATTTTTGTTGACTCATAATTTACTGAATCTATTTATCTGTTTATAAAATATGCACAGTTTATATATAAAAGTAATTTTTATATATAATATTATAAATATATTTTAAATATATTCGTGAAAGCGATAGAAAGATTATTGAAAAGCTCTTTACTCTTTCCATCATAAACATATCTATATATTACAACACTTTTATGTTTACAGGTAATATAAATATGATCAGAAATACCTATATTATGAGAAATTTGTCTCGAAGCAGAGAAAAAAAATATATTAATATTAATATTAACAATCCTTATATAACAAGAGAAAAAACTTGCATATATAACACGTGAATATCCTAAAATAAAGAAAAATTCATTTCTTCTAATCAGACTAATTTCAATTTTCAATGCTTTACACGTGCGTTGTACGACCATAGATTGAATAAATAATATAGAAATGAAACTTATTGTTAGACATTAATAGCATTTTCGAATGGTCGGATTTGGTCCGATTCCGGGATAGTTTAGTAGACATCATCGACCAATCATAGCCATTCTTCTGAAGAATCTATGGTTACATGGAATGTGATTGGTTAGTGACATCTAGTAAACTATATCCTGGGTTGAATCCACAGATATCTATATACTAGGATCCATGTTCTGAAGCCTTTTTTATTGATAAAAGCTCTAAGGCTTCTAAGGCCCAGTTTCACAATCCAGTTAATCCGAGTTTAAGTAGCAAATGGACCAATCAGGACCCAGTTTAACGTATTAAACTCGGATTAAGTGAGTTGTGGAACCGGGCCTTAAGGTGCAATTTCATTGACGCTAGAAACCAGCGGCAAATTAAAATCACTAGACTTTCTTTAGATATGGCGTCAATAAAATAAAGTTCAAACAGTTTCAACTTTTTCAGTGTGTAAAGCGGCCTTTTCATTGACGCTACTTTTTAGCGTCAATGAAATTGCACCTTAACAGTTGGCAGCCCTACGAGATAGGCTGTGCAGCATTGCGCGTATATAAAATAAATTTGAAATCGCTTCTAGCCTAACCATCTTCACGCGATCGACTTTATTTGAATTGCACGGCATCGCATCGAATTATGATGCAGCGCCGATTTGTTCGAACGTAATTCGGGACATCGCGATGCTGTATAAGCGTCGAATGAGCACGAATTGTCACGCAAATATGATAAATCACATCTACTCACCGTTCACCGGCTGTTCCACAGGCCGCTCCACTCGCTCGCCTCGGGACATCCCATTCCGATCTTGATGCACACGATATCATCAACGCGAACGCGCGACACTTTATTCAGCACTCCCGATATTCGCTCGCATCCAATAATCATCATCAAGGGCGCAAATAACGCGACGCGACTTCGCTCCATCTTCGCGATCGCGCTATCACTGAACTGTGAAAAATAGCTGTCGCACACTTTCACCGACATATTATGAAAGTCGCGCGATCATCCTTGGACACTTTCGACGCTCTTTCACTCGCGATATTCGTTTAAAAACGGTTAAAAGACGCGAAAAATGCGGACGTACGACGATCCGTGTAACTGCGTATGACTCCGATTCACGTATGACGCGTATGACGTAGCAGTGACGCGTATGACGTAGCAGTCACTCGCTAACATGGCGGCCGAACCAGTGCGCAAAAACGAATGCGCACTGGTTCGGCCGCCATGTTAGCGCGTGATCGCTACGTCATACGCGTCATACGTGAATCGGAGTCATACGCAGTTACACGGATCGTCGTACGTCCGCATTTTTCGCGTCTTTTAACCGTTTTTAAACGAATATCGCGAGTGAAAGAGCGTCGAAAGTGTCCAAGGATGATCGCGCGACTTTCATAATATGTCGGTGAAAGTGCGCGACAGCTATTTTTCACAGTTCAGTGATAGCGCGATCGCGAAGATGGAACGAAGTCGCGTCGCGTTATTTGCGCCCTTGATGATGATTATCGGATGCGAGCGAATATCGGGAGTGCCGAATAAAGTGTCGCGCGTTCGCGTTGATGATATCGTGTGCATCAAGATCGGAATGGAACATCCCGAGGCGAGCGAGTGGAGCGGCCTGTGGAACAGCTGGTGAAGAGCGGTGAGTAGATGTGATTTATCATATTTACGTGACAATTCGTGCTCATTCGACGCTTATACAGCATCGCGATGTTCCGAATTACGTTCGAACAAATCGACGCCGCATCATAATTCGATGCGATGCCGTGCAATTCAAATAAAGTCGATCGCGTGAAGATGGTTAGGCTAGAAGCGATTTCAAATTTATTTTATATACGCGCAGTGCTGCACAGTCTATCTCGTAGGGCTGCCAACTGTTAAGGTGCAATTTCATTGACGCTAAAAAGTAGCGTCAATGAAAAGGCCGCTTTACACACTGAAAAAGTTGAAACTGTTTGAACTTTATTTTATTGACGCCATATCTAGAGAAAGTCTAGTGATTTTAATTTGCCGCTGGTTTCTAGCGTCAATGAAATTGCACCTTTAGAGTACAAGCAATGCGAACAGACCTCGTGTGTGTATCATTCTAATATAGGAGTATTTCTGTAAATATTCCTGCAAGAGAAAAAAAAGGAATAATATTAAATTTTATTAGAAAAATGATGAGTACAATGATGTTACTTAGAACTACGCGAAACAATGAGTTCGCGATGGCATTTTGCACATGTTATAAAAAATACTGTACTGCGGGGGATGAATATACGAAAAACCTGGTCCATCCGTATCGTCGAATCCATCCATGGAAATCGGAAAACGAATTTGTAAATGATTTGTTAAAGAATGTTATTTACAATGCAGGTAAATTATCATTCTTTGTTTAGAGCAGATTAAAGATAATATTTTTATCCATATATAATAAAATATGTAAATAGAAATTTTATCTTAAAATAAGATTTTATCAAGATTTGTATTCTCTTGATTTTCTATTTTTTTAATTTATAAATGTCTATTGTATAATTTATAAATGTCTATTGTATAATTTATAAATGTCTATTTTATAATTTATAAATGTGCTTATTTTTAAATCTTTTTTAAAAGAAGACAGTTCTAAATTTTTTTCGCTACACAATACGTGTAACGATAATTTTTTTAAATACACAATACGTAATTGTCAAGTCTTATTATGAAAAATTATAAGAAGCAGTAACATTTAATGCTGCATTATTAATTGCCAGCTGTAGAGAGATACTTATTTTATAAATTTACGGCTTATTTAAATTAAAATGGTATGTCAATATATTACATTTTACATTTATATATTAATGCATAGATATTTTCTTTCAGATGGAATTGTTGCAATAAACAAACCATATGGTATACCTATACATAATAAAAGATTATATGATGAGTCCTCATCAAAAATCTGTCACAAGATTGTAAATCCAGTTAATTATTCTGTACATGATGTTTTGCCACATCTTGCAAAGGAATTAGATGTACCAGCCTTAATACCATCCATGGGATCGGAAAAGTGTGTATATATCTCATTTTTGTTTTAAAAATATATTTATAACTTTTACGAAAAATTATTTTTTTTATAGATATATGACTGGCATCTATATTTTTGGAATTAATGACAATGTATGCCAGCAGCTAGAAAAAGCGAGAAGACGATTTCACACTCATAAATTTAGAAAATACTGGGCAATTACGACTAGAGTTTCAAACGAGATCAAAGGAAACTATAATTTGGCAATGATTTTACAAAAATCTTCATTAGGAATTAAAAAGGTACATTTGTCTATGTTTTACATATGCTATGTACAAATTAATTATGCATTTCTATTAAATTAATAATTATGCATACCTTTCAGCCTATTATCATAACAAAATGGTCTAACAATGCTGTAAAAAAGGACGAAGTTCAAATATTAAATATAAATTATAAAGTTATATCCAATTCAACACACAATTTAAGTTCCTTAATAGAAATAGAAGCATCTACAAGAAAATGGCACTCGATTAGATTATTTGCTTCTACTATGCTGTATAGTCCAATTCTTGGAGATAATTATCACGGTTCACGAGTTCAAAATATTATGGGTACATGGATAAAAGTCAATCCATTTGCAGAATCTTGTTGGGATATGCCACATATAAGTAAAGAACTGCTCCAATTGCTAGATATAAAGAAAAATCAGCAAGAAATTATTCCAGCTCATATCCATTTGAGAAATATACACTTAATATCTTTTGGCAAAGAGAAAAAAGATATATCTTTAGAAGCACCTTTAATACATCCTTTTGATTGGACTTGCAGACAACTCATGTTTAAGAACATACCTGAATTAAACAATGACAATATGGAAGATGAGGTAAAGGTAGTTATGTAATATACGATGAATATATATGTTCATAAGTTACACAAAGTATTGTAATAAAAAGAATTTCTATTTGAATTGATGAGAAAGTATTTATTTCTTAACATACATTCTTACAGATTCAAATAATTGGATGATTATTATGATTAATGACTTAATACATGTTTGCCTTTTAAAATTCTTCTTTGGAGAATTTTCCTTCCGTTTGGTGTCGCCAGTCTTGCAAGCCAACCATGTTTCTTAATGCGCTTACGTTCATTAGGTTGAGGAAAGTGATACCTCATTCTATTTCTAACGAGTGTCAAACTCCATGGATTCCATACCGCAGATGTCACGCTCACTGTTGAAGAAAGCTGACTTGAAACTCCCACACGTCTGAAAAAATGTTAATAAAACTTAATATATTACTTAGTATGTTACTTTATTATCTACAAGATAATTTTATTACTCGAGATCATACACTTGTATCTATATTATGTTAATTTTATGTAAAATGATACAACACGAAATGATACAACACATTGTCACATAATTAGAAATAAAATTTTATATACGTACGGTAAAGATTGAAATATGCCGGACATTAATTTTCCGATCATATTTTTATATCGTAAACGTGTGACAACAAGATGGTCAAGATCGTTGCTTGAACAATTTGTTGTGTATCTCGAAAAATTTTAGGTGTGAAATTCGAGGTTAATTCTGCGCCTTCTGCTTCTGTATACATAAGCTCGGTTACGTCATAATCACGTGATCATGCGCATCTGTCGAAGATTGCCGAACATTTCCGAAGATTGAAGAACGCGTTGTTACGTAGTTACTATGACAACGGAACGAAAGTTCGCGGTTTTAATTATCGCTGTCGAGATATTTCAATTAATCGTCAAAAAATTGGAACATTTTGCAGGATAAAAGTATGTATTAAATTAAACTGTTTGTTATATTTTCGTTACTTTCTCAAAACCGAATGTGTATGATTTTAAATTAGTGTAATAATAATTATAAGACAGCCTATATAGAATAAAATTTTAGGAACCAACTTTAGGGCGCTAATTTTAATCAAATATCTCGATGGCTGTCGTAATTTTTTTAATCGTAAATGTAATGAAATTATTAGATTTTTCGAATAAATCATTAAATTTAAATTTATATTGGCATTTTCGTTTCAGGCACGTCAAATATTTACAGATCATCAAAAGAATTTATGGATACCTGGTCCGGTTGACTTCAATCGGTTTATCAGTGAAGACCGTGTTCACTGATTAACCTATTCTTGGGTTTACAATATATACTCTGGAGGTTGCTAAAGGGCGTAGCAGTATAAAGAATACAACCCTCGAGAATGCGACACGACAACGATGACCTCGACCGATCGACAACATATATAAGCATCGTAAAAGGCATCCGACAAATTTCCGAGCAGAAAAGCAAACGAGGAACATCGCTGCATGATAGATAGGTATGTATATATTTTGAAAATTGTGTGTCATGTTAAAAATAGAAGCATGGAACACCGATGACTTAAACAATCTTGGAAAAATTATTTCATTCAAATTTTATTCTTATTTAAAACTTTATCAAGAAAATTGATAATTTTATAATATGTAAAAATTATATACATATACAATTTTAAAATGTATATCCGATTATCTTTTTATTAATTGATTAAGTAATCGGTTTATTAATCGTAAGAAAAAATTCCTTAGGATATTCTAGAAAGAATACAGGTGAAATATCCTTAGGAGGATACAGAGAAACTATAAAAATAGTTTTAATTATTAATTGCAATTTATTATTGAGTTTAATCATGGCATTTCTATATGAGTATTAGACAATATTTTTCAAAATATATTTCAAATAATATAAAAATTGAAAATAACAGCCAACAGAAAAGCATCTCTTTTAAATATTGGTTTTTATTTATCTTTGAGATTAATAGAAATTCATTCAACTTTAAATCAATTGAGTAAACTGATTATTTCGTTTAGAATAACAATGTTTTGAAATTTATATTTGTGAAAAAGTGCATAATTTCTTTCAAATATAATTTAATTTTTATTTTATTATATAAATTTTAATAAAAGTTTTATGATATTTTATTGTGTAATTAATACATATTTATTTTTGAAATTAGTTTTATAATTATTTTAGTTTTATATTCGTATTTGAAATTATAGTTTGAAATAAATTATATTCTAGAGATAAATTACATTCTAGAAATTAAAATTGATTTTCATCGTTCATTACTCGAGTTTTTAATTAAAGTATACACATTAACATATAAAATTTCTTTTATATCTCATATGTATTAATTTTATGCAATATTAATCTTAAAAAACAGGAAAAAGATATACGTAAAAAATATAAAATAATTTTTCAAATTCTTCATCCGTATTTTCATCTTTTATATTGCTTAGGATATTTTGAAAAGTCTATTACACATTAAAAATGCGCGATTAAACTAACAATTAATCTCAATGATGTAATAGTATCTCGATAATAAAATTTTTCTTTCAGTTTCTCTTTGTCGTGTATCCTCTACTTTGAGAAATTTTTTCTTTCATCTAATGCGTCCTATAGTGCTAATATACCTTATGAAAGAATTGATCTCGCCTCTATATTGATAGTAATCGAATGTCGATGCTGTGACTCCTTTAACACGTCGCGTGAACGCATACACATTTGTCAAATATACGAACACTCATGACATCACCATCTTGCGATGATTGTCTGAGTTTGAGATCACATGGGTCCTTTGTCCCGATAAGATTTTGATGTATTTGACATGTGAATAATGCTAGAGGGAATAATAATATAGATCAATACATCATATTGGTACTAGCATAAATTAATAGCTATTTTCATTATTTGTTTTTTTAATTTACCTAAAATATCTTTAAAAAAAACTTACAGAATAAAAACTCATTTCTAATTTTAATTTTTTATAGAAATATTTTAGAATAATATTCCATCTATTTAACAATAATTTTATTCATCGTTTTTACTTGAATATGTTTTTTAAAATCTTGATATTATTATGTTAATATGAAAATACTATCATATGATTATCGAGAATGACATAATGATACTATCTCTACTATTTTTAATCAATTTAATGAATAAGTTAATGGGATACAGCCGGGTTTGGTTACATAGGAAAATGATGCATATACTTGTCATTCAAAGGGCACACTTAGATATTGTTAGAATAAACTTATATCCCGTGGGTGGATAAATTTTTTCATTTATACCCGTGATAGGGCTGTGACCTAGCTGCTATATCATGTGGAACATGCACGCGGTCGTTCTTCGAATACGAATATGTATCACCGAATATATTATCGCATACCTTTTATTACCACATCGATTAAGTATAGTGAAGAGAGAATAAACATGTGTGTTTGTGTGTGTGTACACGCGTGTGTTCGTGTGTGTGTGTGTGTGTGAGAAGAGAGAGAAAGAGAAAATTGATATTATTTAAATTGAAATTAGCAAATTTGCTAATTTTTTTCATTTAATACATAGAGGTACTAAAGTAGATTGGCTTTAAATTGTACGTAAAATTTTTAAATCCGTATATTATATTTCTATATTTCTATATTAGATTTCTATACAATCTTTATATTTTTATTTAAATGTATCTATTTATAATTTCATAATCTATAATTAATCTACAATTAACTACAATTAATTGCAATTAAAATTTTAATATTTTTAATTATATATATGTATAGTTTTGTTATTATTAATTATTGCTATTATTAATTATTAAAATATTTAAAATTATTTTACTTAACAATGGAAAAATTGAAACATATATCATTGGAATATTATTTTTTACTTTATGATGTTGGTAAATTGAATTATCACTGCGTTGATTAATATCCGCTTTTATTAGAATGTTGAGAACATCTCCAACAATCCGTGAAAGCGCTGTACCGAAGGTACTAGAGCAAAAGGAACTTCTTTTTTAATTATTTCTCTCATTAATTATACAAACGAAGATGGAAAAATTCAAGAAAAAGGTGACTATTAATAATATAGAACAAAAAGCGTGGCTATGTCTTGTTAATTTTTTATTGAGATAAAGAATATTTAGTTTTTTTACAAATTCAAAAGACGAAACATATATATATGGTATACAATTATATATGTTTATAATTTAGTTATTCATTTAATTAAAAATTTACCTCAATTTACCTCAATATACATGGAGCATTCGTTACATTTGATAAGTTTATTATTAATTATCTATAATTAAACTTTAAATGTAAAGATTTATGTAACGAGATGTTCATAAGATTTAAGTCATTAGATAATTAAATAAAATTAAGAATCATAAACGCAGAAGGTAGTGCGTGATAGTCATACAAGTAAAATATATTACAAGAAAAAAATCATATAGATCATAAGACTTTTACATACAATATAAACGCAAAAATTATAATACATAATTGAAAATCTGTCGACAGACGTTTCGACCTTCTTCCAGATCTTTTTCAATATCAAAAATTAATGAATTCATTGGATTCATGGGATTGACTTTCAGCGTTTCCGATAATTTTCAAATCATATTTATATCTAATATTTACATTTCGCTTTTGATCACGCATTATCTTCTGGTTTATAGTTCTTAGCCTTATTTAATTATCTAATGAATTAAACTTTACATTATTAACATATAAAGTAAAAATTTAATTAATTCCATCAATCCATACATATAATAATTTTTAAATTCAATAATAATAATTTTCATAACTTTCTCGCGAACATCAATTCAAATGTAATTTCTTTTTCTCCAAAAAGTAAATCGAAACATTACAGAAATTACATATTAAAGTTTTATTGCAAAATACGGAGTACGTATTTTGCAATGTATTATAAAATAAATTATAAATTATAAAATAAAAATAACATCATTTGATATTTTTATATTTTTCTATTATTAGATAAAAGAGTACAATCATGATAATTTACAGTATTGAAACTACATAAATATTATAAAAAATACTAAAATTTAAATTATTTTAATGAAAAAATTATTAATAAATATATTTACATAGGAAAATAGAAATTTTATATATGTAGATACCTTATATGCGCGTGCGCTGATGTAAATATACAATTCAAAATCAAAGCGTTTTACTGTGCACATTAAATTAAAAAAATTCACGAGTTTATTAATTTTATTTTAAATAAGGAAAGCATATCAGGCACCCGGTATATTGTCAACTGTCAGTTGACAAGATACAGGATGCGCCTTTTCCGTTGTAAGAGTTCCGAACCGGCACTCCCATCCCATAGAATCGCGTTCAATCGTCCATCGATTCAACATGAGCGTGTCGTAGCGCCGGCAGACTTATTATCGATCATCTCGCGCGTATGCATGCATATCTTTTTGTTTTCTTACGTCATAAAGTTTTCTGTATGTGCTTTATCAAATACATTTAATTAATTTTTTTTAATATTTCTGTTATTCCGCCCGAATTTTTTAGTACAATTTGATGAAAAGGATTTAATAACAAGTAATTTTTTACGTTTCATTTAGACTGATTGTGACTGCAAAACATTACTTTTTCTTGTCGGCCGAATCTCGAAATAGCCATGATGCGGCTCTCGACCGTGACACACGCATCTCTCAGCGACAATTTACTTGTCAAATAATTCTTCCTACGACCGCGGGGCTCGCGATTACCGCCAAAGCATACGCAGTAACTTATGTGCATACTTATGTTACGTCGTCG